TGACTGAATGTATATATATATTTGTTATATATATATATATATAGGATCACGCTCCGGTGAGAATGACTCTTAATGCGAGAAAAATAAGAATAAATTGTAGTTATTGGATCGGACGCTCTATCGGTAACAAAAAATTTTGCATTTATTTAGACATTAAGGATATTTTGGATATTTTAATTATAAAAATATGGGACCATGCCAACTAACACTTATCACACCAATGATTTAATGCCATGTGTCAACTACAATTAATACATCCCACCCACCACCACTCACCTCTATCTCACACATTGGCACGGTCAACACACACACACATGTTACACGCACAGAACACACACAAAAACACTCACACACATACGCGACACACACAGCACACACACAGATTTCGGCGACACACACACAAACCGTCGCTGGCGGCCACGCACAGGCAGCATAACCTTCCAGCCTTAGCCGCCGTCGCCGCCGCCATCAGGCCTCCTCTGCGCAGTAGCCGCCGTCGAACAATCAATGAAAATCCCGTCAGATTCCTTCGTCGTCGTCGCGTCTTCGTCGGCCGACACAATTCTTTCCGGAGACCTTCCATTGATGACCAACCTTCCCCTTGTCTCGACAGACAGCCGTCCGAACTCATATCCGGCGACCTCCGCCGTTCATTGGCATGGTGGAAAGCTTTCACCGGTGCCCTCGCCGAATTGTCCGCCTCCGCCGGAATCTCGTGCCCTCGCCGACATGAGTGGTGGTGGTGATACTGTATGAGGCTGAAAAAATGAGTATATGGATGTTAGATTTGTGGGGTTATTGTGAGAATTAGATTGTTTTGAAGGACCTAGTTGTAAATTTAATAATTTTATTTATATTTCAATTTAACCGACGGGTCAAATCTGCAATTTACAAAAAGATATATATAAGTATAATGTTTTTATATCTTTTAAATAGATAAAATAATAAACAAAAATTATTAAGTAAAAATAAGATAAAAATATTAAAATATTATTGGACATATTGCACTTTATAGATGGTTGGATTGCACTTTTGCGTCTGTGATATTGCACTTTAGCATAGCAAATGCACGACAATGTTAATTAAATTAATAATATAAAATATTAAATATAAAAATTATAAATACTAAATATATTTTTATTACATAAATAATTTTTAATAATTTTATTTATATTTTTAATTTAACTCACGGGTCAAATCTACAATTTACAAAAAGGACTGTGGTTTGAAAATTTAATAACACTTAGAGATTTGAGTGCAATTTCTAAACTTTTAATATATTTCAATTGAGTCCATTGGGCAAATATGTAATTTACAAAAAAATATATAAAAATATTATATATATATATATATATTGTATTTTCATTAATAAAAAATAAATAAAATATTAAAATATTTCATACATCTTTATAATTATAAATACGATTTTTTTTTTATTATGTTAATAATTTGATAAATACAAAATAATATGTGTCATGTTTATAATTGAATTATTAAAGTTGTGCACTTTATATATAGTATATTGCACATTATAAAACAAGACGTTGCACTTTATAAGACAATATGTTGCACTTTATCGCCACACTGCACAATTAATGTAAACAGCTCCCGTAAAAAATATTACGCAATAGAAATTTTAAAAACTAATCTACATAATACTTTAATATCCATCACATCATATATACACAAAAAAACACAAGCATTCTAACGTACTGAAATTCCAGTATTGCATTTAATATGTCATTACGTCGAACTTTATATAACAATACGGTGCACTTTATAAAACAAAATGTTGCACTTTATAAAACAACACGTTGCACGTAAAAATTAATTATGCTAATCGATCGAATAATATTAAGTGGTGAAATGTCGGATTTACTGTTTTTAAATAAATAAAATAACCGAACAAGTCAAGTTATATGAAAAAAATTACCAATTTTTCTTATAGCGAATAATACTACTTTTAATTTATATTTTTTACGTATTGTTAGTGCACATTAGAGTTATACGAATTGCACATAAATGCCTACTGAATTGCACTAAATCAAACAAGATCAAATGAATACAATTTCGGTACGACATTTTATATTTTGGTTCTATTATTATTATTATTATTATTTTCAAGTTATATACTTACTAGTACAAACATTGTACAAATTATATGTCAAGTTGTATATTTATTAGATTTTTTGGGGGCCCTGGTGAATAAGCACTACCTACACGTACACGGTACAACAGTGGCCGGAAGAATTTGATATTTAAATATGAATTAATTTAGTTATAATTAATATTTTTTAAAAATTGCAAAATGGTCCCTATACTATATCTAATTCTCAAAACAAAGACCACATCAATGTCCAAAATGTCAAAAACCAACTCCTCCGCTCAGTCCTGCACGTCTTCACGGCCATCACTTCCGGCCACCGCGATGGCCGTCGCTTCCGATCACCGTCTCCATATAGCACTCGCGGCCGTCGTCGGGAAACGCCTGGCCGACGGCCATCACCATCTTGCCGACCAAATCGGTGGATACAAGGTATGACGGCCATAACTCACCTTCTGGACGACTGGTTGGTTTGTGCCGGAGAGTTCACGGTCGTAGCCCGTCTCTAATGACGGGCAACAGTGGCGCAGCAGCGGGGCTGTGGAGGTTCGGCGACCGGGCTGGGGAAGCGAGTCAGATGGACTGAGGAGGCTCGTCGGCCGGAATGGAGAAGTGCGGCGGCGGGGCTGCGAAGTCGTGGCCGCCGGAATTCTAGCGAGAGGGGGAGACTAGGGCGGCAACGTCGCCGGACGGCAGTCGACGCAGGGCGGTTGATCTGGTGTTCCGGCCGTGTGCGTGAATTTTATGTGTGTGCAGTGTTTGTGTGTGTGTGTGGTGAAACTTGAAAGATGGTGATGGATGGAGTAGGTGGGATTGGGACGATGGTAGGTGAGAGAAAGAGTTATTGTTGGGTGGTGGTGGACCCCACATGTTGGTTGGTTGATATCAAATATCTAATTTATCCTTAATTTGTGGTCAAATGTTTATACTTGACCATAAATTGTAAACTTATTTACAAAATTACCACAACATGTTGACTGCTATATTTAATACTAGTATTCGACTTTGTGCATTTGCACAGATGTAAATAAAATTAAATATTATAAGTTATATTTATGCATATAATATAAAAATTATAAGTTATATAATTGTATTATATTTCAAACATATAGTATTATAAGTTATATTTATGTATATAATATTAAAATTATAAATTATATAATAGTATTATATTTTAAAATTTGATCATTGGTTAAAATAAATAGTACACACGATTTGATTGTATACGAATCACTATATTGATTGCATAAAATGCAATAAATATATACTTTTTATAATTTTGAGTGATCATGACTAATTAATTAGCTGAAAAATATTACATTTATTATAACAATTGCTTATGTGATTTTAAGAAATTTTACTATGACATAAAGAAATTAATTTATTAATAAACATCATCTTCATCATATAAAAAAATATTGATTTTAGTGTAAAATATAATTTTATGTAACTTTCATATATTATTTAGTATAAAATATAATTACTAATTTTAATATTAACTATTATATTATTCAATAAAAAATATAATTATTAATAAATTAACATAAAATATAATGATTTTTGTCTTAATTAACCCAAAAAATGTAATGAAATATTTTCTTATTAATGAGATTGGGTGTATTAATGCCACATAAATAAAATTTATTAGGTTCTATTTATTAGGATTTATGAATGATTTGCCACATAGGTAAAATTTATTAGGTTTTATTTATTGGGTAAAATTTATTGCTTAGTTAGCAATTATATATATATAGATTTGACTATATCATGATCATTGATATGTTGCATTTAATGGTCAAGAATCATTCTCATTTATTTCATTATCTACCATTCTCATATGATCCCTTCTCTCTCTCTATATATATATATTTGTTATAATTTTTTAATATTTACCGGTCTGGTCCGGTTAAACCAACGGTTTGACGCAGGTAATCCATTAACCGGACCGGTTATTCTGGATTTTTAAAAAGTTTAACCACCGGATTTTTTAAAGCTTTTTTAACTGACCATTTAACCGATTCGCGATCCGGATTGACGGTTTTTTTTTATTAAAACCGGACCGTGAACACCCCTACCGCACGGGTTTAAAAACTATGTAGGAAGGGAAAAAAAATAAGAAATGACAATTTTCATTGTTCAAACTAGTATGTAACCCGTGCGATGCACGAGATGTAAAATTTGGAAGAATAATATAATCTCACGTGCATTAGGATCGAAATTGAAATCATTAAAATACATAGGAACATTGTTGAATCATAAAAAGTTCGGTAACAATCATAAATTATTAAAAACCTCCTTGTACACAACATTATGAGTTTGATTATTTGGTAACTCTTCATTATCACAAACTAATATTTTCAACCCCCTTCTATTATTTACACGCGAAGCAGCAACATATAATTGGCCGTGACTAAAAACGGGTTCTTCAGGAAAAGACCAACGTGCGATAAAAAAAGAGTTTTTAAAAATTGAAAAGTCAAGGCAATCAGTTCAAATTAATTAAAGGTCAAAGAATATCCGCTCCTTGAAATAAAGACGTGTGCTATCATTAACCAAATATTCGGTTATTGATATAGAGTGGTTACCAAAAAATAGAACGCGATAAGGACGCTTCATGAAATATCAATGGAATAAGGTCATAACAGATCGCTATACATTTTAACGATAAAAGCTCATATGGAATGATTTAATTAGATGTGTGGAATGATTTAATTAGATGTGTGAAAAGGACTTAATGAGAAATGTGAAAAGGACAAAAACTTACGGGTTTTGGAAAATATTTAATGCAAATCCGACATTGATCATAATTTGACATACTATTTTGAATAAATATTAATTCTTATTATATAAGTATAGATGTTTATTATTATGCCATCTCATTTCATTTATGCTCATTCAAAAAATGGAGTCAAGCGGCATCACTGAGAAGAAGTTGAACAAACTCTCTTGAACAGTTCAATCCGCAAAACCAAAGAGAAGGACGCAATCTAAAACAAGAAAGGAAAACGGAGTAAAAGGTGAAAAAGCTGAGGACATTAGAGACTGGTTGGAGTGGGTTTTGTGTGAACCATGGGGTCGAAGAAGCTGATCGTGGCCGTTGAAGGCACGGCCGCCGTCGGTGTCTTCTGGCAGACCATCGTTTCCGATTACCTCGACAAGATCATCCGGTACCAAATCTTCATGTCGCCACCACTACGTGCATTCTGTGTTTTTGCACAAACGATTAGTTGGGCGTATTCTTGCGGTTACTCGAGATATTTTGTTTATAGGCTATCTGCTTGCGTTGTTACTGTTTGGGGAAATGAATTTCACGAAATTCGACTCTATACCTATTTTTTAATCAAACATCAGTTAATGCCGTTCTGATAATGT